TAATATTAATGATAATGATAATAACAATAGTAATGATTATGATTATAATTATGATAATAATGATGATAATAAAAACAACACCATCAACAACGACACTAATAATAATAATAATAATAATAATAATAATAATAATAATAATAATAACAATAATAATAATGTTCGGAATAATGATAAAATAGTAATTATAATAATAGTACTAAGAATAATTATTATCTTGATAATGATAATTATAACCATAGTCAAAATGATAATGACAATAATGATTATAATAATCATAATAATTGTGACAGTAGTGTCAATATTAATGACTGCATAATGCAACTAGTAATGACTGATAACAAGAAAAAAATGCATTTAATTTTTTGTGTGTTTGCGTGCCACAAACAGTACTATATACATTCATAAAGAGATATCCAGATACATACTCAAATCAAACACACACACACACACACACACACACACACACACACACACACACACACACACACACACACACACACACACACACACACACACAAAACACACACAAGCACAAAACACACACGCACACACACATACACACACACACACACACACACACACACACACACACACACACACACACACACACACACACACACACACACACACACACACAAACACACACACATACACACACAAAACACACACAAGCACAAAACACACACACACACACACACACACACACACACACACACACACACACACACACACACACACACACACGCAAACACAAAACACACACACACACACACGCACGCGCGCGCGCGCGCGCGCGCGCGTGCGCAGACAAATATAGGGACAAACACGCGCTGGTTACCTCATAATCCTCAGCTGTCTTGCGATGAAGCGAAAAGAAGGATGTACAATTATGTTTTTTCTTGTGTTTTACTTATATATTTATGTGTTTGTGTTCTATCGTGAAATAAAGAGATTATTGGGTACACTCAGATACAAACACTTGTATTTTCGCTCTCGTTTTCTCTGGAATAATGGATGGTTAACAAATAGATTAATTAAATGCTTGTTACCAATCTGTTGGCGAAATACAAAACGTTCTTGTTCCCTCCTACTCTGTTTCTCATTCTGATTTTTTTTTTCTAATTCTCTCTTTCTCTCTCTCTTTTTTTTTACTTTTGATTTCGGCTCTCACTCTTTCTCTTACCGTCTCTCTACTTTTCGTTGTTCTCCATCTCTCTCTCTCTCTCTCTCTCTCTCTCTCTCTCTCTCTCTCTCTCTCTCTCTCTCTCTCTCTCTCTCTCTCTCTCTCTCTCTCTCCTCATCTACAAAAGTAATAAAGCAACTTCACACACGCGCCCATGGTTGTTCACACACTTACACACTTTCAAATTAGCCGCCAAGTGCAAGAACCACTTTGGCATTCATGAAAAGCTCGTCTTTATAAATTCTGTTCTGTTTACCACACCTGCTGGCCTGAGGGTTATCAACAGCCTAACGAGCGGGAGAGAGAGAAAAGACAATTAATTATTCCTCCAACAGACACAAATCGCCCGATCCACACTCCGAAAAAAAAGAAAAAAAGAAAACAAAACAAAACAAACTGACGGCGCCCAAACAAGTAAACAATCAGACGCGGCAACATTCACCCTCATTACAGCCTTTGATGAGCTCAAACTCTTCTATCCGTGGAGCTGATCTCGTAAACATTCCCCGGCATGGTTCTATAAACAGCCTGTCCGGGGGATTTATTTCTGATGGGGGCTAATACGCGGCGGAATCAATGGACGAAGGTTTTAATATCGCATAATCTCGTGTCCGGGAACCCGCCGATCCTTCTCGTCCGAATGGCTGCGCGCGGGCGAGCTCTCGGTCGTTTCTTGTCTCGGATTTCGTGGCGGGCTTCTGTCTCTCGTCCCTTGAGCTAATGGCTTTCGGAGATGATCACGGCGTAGGAAGCGGGCTTGGGGTTAGTCCCCGACGGGCGTGGGGCGGAGGGACGAGCAGGGTGGCTAGCGGCAGGTGGTTCGGACGCGGCCGCCCATTCGAGTTCACACCCCGGTCGCTCGTCGGGATTAAAAAGAATGGATTACGTGCTTGCCAAACGCCCCTATCCTCTAGCCCTTCCTCTCCTCGCTTATCTGCGGCAGTATCTCCCTCCTCCCAGAATGAAACACTTCAGCCACATTTCAGCAGACAGAGTGACGGCTTGCGGGCGGTCGAGCGAATTTTCTGCAGCGCGAGCCGATTCGGGAGGCGGCGAGATGGGTCCGCCGGCGAGACTTGGCACCGGTGAGAATTAACAGAAGGAGAGGGCGCCTCGAGTGCCCTAACATGAAATAATGTTTTCCGAAAAGTGAAACAGATTTACCGCGTCTCGACATGGCAGAAGGGAGGGGTGCAGAAGCGGGAGGTTCTCGCGCTGCCTTCACATGGGTGAATTGTGGCGTTGTTGCAGGAGTTTGGAGGCTTTTTCTTTGTTTTATTTAGCGGCTGTAGCGCCAGCGAGCGAGCGAAGTGGCGGTGAAGTGGTGGTTTCGTCCGCTCGAAAACGGGTTCCACTTTGCACCTTGCTCACCCGCCGTTGTTCGCTTTGGCCCGGCATCTGTTATTTCTCTCGCTGTTCCCCTTGCCTAATGCATGCGACAGAAACATGCAAACACATTCGGATCATGAAACCGAATCGTTTTCTCTCGCTCTTTTTTTTTCTTCAACATTATCCCTCGGTACGAATTCAGAGCGTTTTGGCGGATTGGTGATTTACAAAGAATCGCCTCCGCGTTGTAATTTCAAAAGTTTGCAGGTTTGGGAAAACAATGAAACAGATTTCTGTGTATTCCATTTTATTATCCGATTTACTCGGGTTCTCTGGCTTAGTATCCGAGCTCAGGGCTGGATTTGTCCGTTCTTGTAACTCATGGTGCGGGATGTGACGTCATAGCTTAATCGTCGACAGAACTGATCGTCTGCTGAAACCAATATAACTTTTCTCTCCTATATATTTTTCTAGTGCTAGATGTTCCATTAATTCATATTTGGGGACTAGAGGCTTCAAGTTTCTAATCACAACCATTGTTTTGTATTTAAGATTTGGAAATGAATTACAACTTTTTTTTTGTGTCATGTACGGGGTATACGTGTTACTCCCATGACGTCACACATTTCCTCTAAGATAATTGGCTTAGATCAAGACTGACGTGTACCTATGACGTCACACATTTCCTCTAAGATAATTGGCTTAGATCAAGACTGGCGTGTGCATATGACGTCACACATTTTTCCCGCCGACATGGATCCAAGGTCGAACATATCTAACATAATTTAACTATCACTGGCCATACATCTTATCATATCTGGTCTCGATGATTTATAAACATCTCATATTTATTTATTTTTTGTTTATAATTACACAACTGTTGACTAAACGGCGTTCATTCAATGTAGAGGAAAAATAAAGGTAAAGTATACCTTTTTTTCTTTCTTTCTTTCTTTTTTTTCATATAAAGAAAGTATTCATTAAATCATGATGATAAAACAGGATACATTTATATGACCTTGTACTGATAGCGCTACAACTGCGGTTATTATTTTTTTTAATGAATAGTGAAAATAATGATAATGACGCAATAAGCATAATGCAATATCAACATAAATATCATAATCATTATTTCCATTATCAAATAAAAAACGAATGTTATTGCAATTCTATAAGGTTTCTTATAATCAACAGTTTATCATTACAATTTTTGAATGTTACTATTATACCTAGTAATGTCATTTTATTTTTTATTACTAGAATATAAAATAAAATAACTTTTTTTTTTAATATATCCTGTTTAAAGGTGATTTTTAACTATCATGATAATAATAACAAGAATATTAAGTACAATGCGTTTATAATAATGTTGAAATACTTACGATTAAATTTATGACCGAAACATCAGTTACAGTAGCAAAAAAGAATGTTTATAACAATAGTGGCAATGACAATGAAAATAATACAATTATGAAAAATAATGATAAAACTAATAATAATCACAATATCACTAACAACAATAACAGCGACAACTCAACATCATTATACAACCAATATTATTTTTTTCCGTCTACAATGAACGCCTCACTGATGCTAATATATTTATATATTTATATACACATAATATACACCGTTTTTTTAAATTTTACTATACAAGATGTCGTTTAATATTGACTACAAATGAAAGTAATTAATAAATAATGGTCATTATAATGATAATTACGCAAGGTGACTAGAGGAAGGCATATAAACGTGAAGGGGGTGGGGGGGGTGGGGGGGAGGGTTTTAAAAGGTCATTAACAAATTGTAACAAAGTCTCTATCGATGCCGTTAATTGTATCTGATTAACAACAAACACAATGGTTGTAGTGGGGGGGTGGGGGGTGAAGGGCAGGAAGAGACCGGGGGGTGGTAGGGAGAGTGGTAAGGGGGGGGGGGTTGTCGGCACAGATGAACAACCCACACACACGATTTTAACTCTTATGGCAACACGTTCTAAGGGTCATTGTTCCGTAAGTAGAGGTCACATTGGGTCAAGTAAAGCTTGTGTTGGCAACTCAAGTCGGTGAGTTGCCAAGTTGGATTAAATGACTGGGAAATTCGGTTGTCTTTTTTTTTTTTCTTCTTTTTTCTTTCGAATTCTTTTATCACGAAAGAAACTTTTATGGTGAATGTCCTTTTGATGCATTCTTATATATCTTTACCCGTGAGTTTTTTTTTTCTTCACGAATCCTAAATTAATTCATGTCACAACAATTTTATTTTGTATTAATAAATAAATACTAATGATAATGATGATCATTTCTTCCCCTTTGGCATATGGGAATAACCTTCACACTTTTTCCCTTCATTTTCTCTCTCTTTTTCCTTTCATTTTCTCTCTCTTTTCCCCCTTCTCTGTCACTCATTTCCTCCTGAGGTAAGACACCACAGAACATAATAATAACGAAGGTGTCACGGCACTTATAGTGTCACATATCACGCTCACGTTGAACCTGTGGTGTCGCTTCAGAGTCAAGAGCATCACTGAGATAATTCATTCAATGGTTCTATTTGTTATTTACTGTTATTTATTTTTTTCATCGTTGTGCATCACCGTTTTGTTATATTTTTTGTCATTTTTGGGAATCACCGTCTTTTTGCAGTGTTTTTTTCTTTTCTTTTCTTTTCTTTTCTTTTTCGTTTTTTTTTTATGCAAGAACGATTTTCCATGAAATATTTTTTCTTTCTTTCTTATTTTCTTATTTTCTTTCTTTCTCTGTATTCGGAATGGAGGGTCAGGTGTGTGGAGTGTGAGAAGAGAGGTAGGAGGAGATAGAAGGGAAGAGAGAGAAGCGAGAAGAAAGTAAAGATAGAAGAGAGGAAGAGAAGAAAAGTAGGAAAAAGTAAGGGAGGAAAGAAGGGCAGGGGAGGAGGGGAGAAGGGGGAGGAAAGAGGGGAAAGGGGAGGGGATG